AAACGCTAGGCAAGATGCATATGTAACACTGGTGAACACACAAGACATTATTCTGCTGGTGACACCAATAGAGAAACAAAAACTACTGTGTCCTTATCCATCTCAAACATGAAATTGTTTCCTGACTGGCAGAGAAGAGGTTGTGAAGCTAATCACAGAGCCTTCCCTGGGAAGCTTTGGAAGACCTATCAACAGAAAACTTAAACTACAACATTGTGCTCACAGACGCAGGTCACAGAGTCTACCAAAGATATATGGGGGAGGTCCATGTTTTAACAGAGGTTTTCAACACCACCATAGAGTGTACCTGTCCCAGTGGGCAGGCTGGCTGCTTTTAAAGGAGCTATGACATCAGTTGCTACTGATGAACTATTGTCAGAACTGACAATAGTGTTTTTTTACTTACAGAGCTACTGTATGGGAAACCCTGTTTAAGATGTATAAATCAAAGCACAAACATGCTAATTTGCTCCTCAGAGGTGAACAAATGAGCCAGAGTTCTTAGTTCCCATAATGTGTGTAAGATCTACTTCTCCACTTCAGTCAATATTCCAACAAACTCAAATTATCTTAGAGAAAAGGCAAAGAAATTCTAGATAATCTATGTATACATAGCTTATCTGTGTTGTCACTTTCGTTACTTAACTAAAAATACTACAATCTGTATCTAAGACATCCACTATACTGCAAAAATCCAATAAAATGAGAATAAGTCGCTTTTTGAAAATGAATTTGGAAGGCACCTACGCTATATAACCTTTACTTTTAATCTTCCCACACAAACTAATCTCAAATGAGTCTTTACTCTTTGTTATAGTCATGACCTCATATACATATAAACTTTCCAGATGTTTACTACTGGTTTAAGAAATACTTACTAGACACCAACCATGTTCCGGAGTCACAAGCCCCTGATTCATGGAGTTCCAGTCACACAGAGTAGAACTTTCAAGCCCCTTTCCACAATGTGTCTTTGGGAGTTCTAATGTGTTCATTAGAATGTTATGATACATCATCTTCATAAACAACCCGATAGTCCTGTAGAGGTGTGTTAAACATGTCCAAAAGGGAAGTAAAAGTCACAGCTGCATACTGTGTCCATGGTATGAAGGTGTGGCTATCACTGTAACAGGGCTATCTAGACAGGCACCCGTACTTGCCTAAAAACTACCATGATACCTGGTCTACACTACTACACTACCTAACTTTTCTCTGGTATTGAAACTATGTTTTAATTTTGCTGCCAGATCCCTCCTGGGATAAGTCTTTTTGTCTTGTGGAATTCTAACACTCAAGCACCACCCAGCAGACTTTTTCTCTAAGTTTGGAACATTAATTAATTGTGAGTTTTAAGAATTAATTCACCTCAAGCCAAAAGTTAAAACTGTAGGCTTAAGAAAGACAAACACAGAACAGGTCATCTAAAGTCACCTCTTTTTAAAGGAAAAGAAAATGGAATCTGGAGAGGTTCACAGATGTGTCCAAGGTCACACAAGCAAACGACAGAAGCTCGGTTGGAGTTTCTGCTTGATAATACTTACAGGAAACTGCTGTAGGAAATTACCATGAAACTCTGAGTGAGAAAAATTGCCTTTAATGACAAACATGAGTAACTCAGATGTACTTAATCAAGCTCTTAGTTAAAACTATGCTTTATTAAAAAGTAAGAAGAAAGGCAAGTTAGAGCTGAAAAATGATAAATCACTTCTGAGATACAGCCTCCATGTAGACCAACTCAGCTACAATCAATTTTAGGAGCCCATTCCAACTATTTTTTTAATTCTAGAATTATTCACATTGAATTATTATTCAAAGAAAATTTATAATCCAATATTGAATTATTATTCAAAATCAATGTGTTATTCAACAAAAAATTATGATTCAATATTCAAAATTAGTGAGGACAAGGCACCAAAATCTTTTTGATTTGCAGAGATTTCTCTCATAACAGGTTTGGGTCAAAGAACAGTGATTTAAAGCAAGAAGTGAAACTTGCATTTTAATTTCCTATGTCTTCCATTTTGCCCTCTTTTCCTCTTTCTATCAAGTTACAAAGGTTAGAATTCTCATCTCAATTATATTTTCAGATTGGAAAGTCAAAATAGTTTGTATCGTTGCTGTTAAATCTAACAACTTCTTTAGCATTTCCCTAGCTCTAATTATAAAATTCCATTTAGAGAAATGGATGATAAATTCATTATATTTCAAACACTAGTGGCCCTTGAAAATTAGGGAATTAAGGAATGTTCTAACCAATTCACTTGCCAGGTAAAATGCATCTATAAGCCCTAGGGCAGAAAGATAGTTTCTCTGGGCTTTTGTCAATACTGGGTGTTAAGGGTAAAAGACACATGCATTCACAGAACAACATATACATAAACTAAAGAGATCAGGTTTAAATATAATAAAGAGAGGCTGGCAAGACTGCCCAGGAGGTAAAGGTGTGTGCAGCCAAGAAGGACAACCCGAGTTCAACCCTCAGGAACCATAAGGCAGAAGGAGAGAACAATACCCACAAGTTGTCACCTAGCCTCCACAAATGCAGAGGCGCACACATACATACACACATATAAATAAACCAATGTTAAAGGAATAATAGGTTGAGATGGTTATTCCCCAAACAGCATGTATTTGTGGTTCCTATTAAATTAGTTAGATGAAAATACACATATTTCAATGTTTTTAAAGGTCTATTTTTATGGAAAACTATAAATCCAAATGGACATAAACATTTGGATTTGTATAATAAACCTAGTGAAAACACCTATGGGTAGTGTCCTTAGCTGTTTTATATGCTGATCTATTTAATTCTCACAGCAGCCATTTTGGGTGGAATCTATTATTATCTTTATTTTGAAATTAAGAGAACTAAGACACCTAGAAAGTAAGAGTCAAAGCCAGACTCCGACCCCAATGATACTGAAACTACAAATGCTTGCTTGGCACTATACTGGCATGGTTTGGTCCTTCTCAGTTTTGTTGCATTTATCTCTGAATTGTTTTGTTATCAAAAGTTAGATCTCTTGTTATTTCAATTAAACAATTTCATTATGAAACACTTTACTGGCCCATTATATTTGGAGGAATACACTGCTATTTGTAAGTTATTTCTGTAAACACTTAGCCTCCATTGTGGATAGCAGACCCATTGTGGATAGCAGGCCCACCTTACGAAACTATGCAGAGTGCTTTTACCCATAGCGGCGTTCACAATGAGAAAATAGTTATGCATAAACATCAGTGACACATGTGTAGTCCAATTGTTGTACATATTTATAGCAATCGAAAACTCACATATGGCAGAAGGACTGTAGCGGATGAGGTTTTCCCTCGTGCTCGGAGACAATGCAACGGATGAAGCTTGTCACTTCTACATCCCGCATCGCACTGTAGTCTACCCTCACCCGTCTCTTCACATTTACTCTGATTGCCATTGTTAAGACCCTCAGCCCTTGATGACAACACACAGCCTCAGATTCATCTGCTGTACGATATGAGGTCAGTGCAGGATATCAGGGGCAGGAAGAACAATCAATGCCAAAGGTGATGGTGGAGGCTGGGGCTCTGGCATTAAGCTGTATTCACTCATGAGTTGTCATACATACATAACATAAGATCTAGTTTTTACAGATGTCTTACCCGGCCCTTGAAATCAAGTTGCTGTCGCAACACCTCTCACAGCAATGTGGGGGAAAAAACGGCACTGGCCTTCCTCTATACTCCACCAGCTCAATCTATAAAATGCCAGTGCCGAGCTAAGCACCCTAGAACACATCATCACAACACTTCACAATGTGCCTACATTTCCTCCCTCAGCTCTCCCTCTTGCCGTTCCTAGATACCCACATAAATAGCCCACATTTCCTGGCCATGCATTGCTCTTTTCTATCTTCATGCTTTGTCCAAGCTACTTCACATGGTGGAAGTACCCCACTTCTGGTCGTGGAGTTAACTGCTATTCATGGTTTGAGATGCTTCTCCTTCATGTGATCCTTTTAAACTCCAGAGACCTACCTCCCTTCCAAAATGTATTTCCCTACAGAAAACTGCTAGCTTCATTCTGCTATGGGTTCCTACTCTACCCAAGGCACAGACACATATGGTGAGAGGGCCTCAGACACTTCTATTTCTATATCTTTCGTGCTGAAAACCAGTCATCTTAGCCTTGTTTGTCATTATACCATTGCTGCTTAGTACTGACATGCCTTTAATACTTAGTAAATGTCTAATCATGTAGTTAAATCCTCTACCTAGTGTATTAACACACACACACACACACACACATAGTGATGGGAGTATAAATAATATCTATAATCACAGTCACTGGAATAAAACATTTGACCATTGTGAATTTCATGATAAAATTAAAATATTAATTTGAGTGATTCAGACACGCAGTGAATTTTTGAATGGCTATGCTTCATTGGTTTAAATGCTTAAAATCACATTTTTTAAAAGGATGGTGTTTCTAACTTATGAACCCGTTTGAAGCATGCTGTATTAGTCTTGTTTATTTGGTCTTTGTCATGCAAAAAAGATTCTTTTCTTCCTAACTACAATGTTAGTAACACAATTACATTAAAGTTGCTCATTTTAGCTTTTTTTTTTCTAAAGGAGCAGCCAGCCACATGCGGAGTGAAAAGCATGGCCCTCCCTTTAACAGGATGACATTCTGCTCAGTGTGACTGGGGCAGTTTCATCTCCAGACTTCCAGGTTCTCGTGAACTATGATTTGCAGATGTGCAGTGTGCGCTAGGGAGCAAGGGGACACCATGAAATACCAGTGTCGGGTGTGTGCGGGGCAGGGAAGCTATTGAGAGGGCTATGGAAACGAGTGTTCATCAGAGCAGAGTGATGATTTATATAGCCAATTTCCGCCTTCAAATTAGGGTCCAAATAGAAAAGATGGAATTTAGTAAAACTCAATGGTGTACCATTTCCTAGAGCAGAGATACCCACTGAGCCCAGTGCCCTACTATGGAGAGAGTACAAGCAGCAACCTGAGGGAAGCCCACAGGCTCGCAGGGCCACTGGCTGGCTCTTTGTCACCAAATGCAGCAGGTTGAATGCAGACATCACTGTGATATCTTCAGCAACAAACCCAGAGGCAAAACCAGGGACAAAAGCTGAGTAGGAGAAAAAAAGAAGAAAACAAGAAACAACGAATTAAAACATCACAAACTGTTAGGTACATTCATAACAACTGATGGCTTTTGGTTTATAGAGCTAAGCCCACGCACAGTGCTAATAAGGTGTCAATGCCTCGTTTTCAGATGGCAAGCTGACTTTCATTGTTATCGTTTAATCCTCACAGTCCTCTTAGGAGGCCGACTGCATCCCCAATACATCTGTGGGAAAAACAGAGGCTCAAAGAACCAAGGACACAAGCAAATACAGTTGGAAAGAGTGGGGACATCCATCTGATGGCAGAGCCATCCTCTGTCCTTACGCACACAGCCTTCCATAGATGCAGAAACTCATGCTTTAATACAAAAAAACAAAACAAAGAAACAAAAAACCTAAGGACAACTAAGAGACATCACTCCACAAACTGTCAGATTTGAATAAAGCATAATTCAATTTTATGATTTGTATTTTCTAAATAAAATTCTGAGTAGTGCTCATGACTCACCATGGAAAAGGGTAAAAAATATTTTACTAAAGTCTTTGGAAATGCATCGTGTAGAAGAATCTCAAAGCTACATGATGTTAAGCTTCAGACAAGCTTTCAGCTCGTAGGGTTTTCATAAGGGCCTCATGCAGTGTTGCAGTCGGTGAAGAATAACTTCAAATCAAAGTGGAGGACACTCGGTGATTAGCAATTTCTGATGTTTTGTTTAAAATGACCATGTTAAGTAACCCCAACTGCCAAATGTCTAAAAATGGAATAAAATTAATGTCTTGCTCATTTCCTGACCTCGACCACCTCCATTCCCCACCCCAAAATAAAAGTCCTTTCCTGGACTCTTGTGACCCCCTTCAAGAGCAAACACATAATAAACAGTAATGTATTTGACCAAATCGCTCTGGACTATATCTGACGGAAACCTGCTTGTATTAACATGCCTGAACTCTGACTTCCACAAACTAAACTCTCTCCAAAACTAAAACATTTCTAACTGGAGGCAAAGTGGAGGGAGAGGGAAGGTAAGAATCGCGAGGCACAGCCCGAGAGAACCGTTAGACATAAATAAACATGTCATTTTCACAGTGACTGCAGAACAGGGGAGAGAGCGCATGCCTTTGGAACAGACTACTGGCTAATAAAAGATCAAAGGTCTATACCTCACAACGCCATAAATAAAAATGTAGGTTTTTTTCTTTTCCATGAGACCCCTTCCCCATGAGGGACAAGGTATGTGCGGTAAATGTAATTACTTAGCATAGCTGCGGCCTCGCTGTGCTCCCACAGCTGACCATAAAATGTCTTCCCATTCTATTTCATCAACCGCTGTACCAGGCGGCCTGGGCGCCTACGGATCACTGTGGCCATCTGGCTTGTGTCAAAGCCCGGCACACAGGAAGAAAGGCAGTGACGTCACTCTGCAGGTCAGGCAAAGAACAAAGATGCCTTCTACAATTAAAAGCCAAGGACTGCAAACACCAGGGGCCCAATGTGGCTGCAATTTAACAGTCCTCCTCACAGCCTTTTTCCTACCCAAATAGCCAGAGCTCCATCTAGTGGCAAATTGGTTTTGCCCAGTTTGGGGGTTTAAATTGTTTTGGTTTGGTTTGGGTTTTATCAAGTTGACCCTGGAAGGGCTACACTAGCACCACCTGGCCTTCCCATGCTGAAGAATGAACTGCAACCTGTCATAGTGTGACCCACCTACAGATCTCACCAATAACGATTTTAGAGGATGGAAATTGGTGTGACCCTAATTGCATTAATGCCCACAAGAATGCTGGAAATGCAGACAAACTCACAGCATGCTTGCCATTAGCACAGCACCTGAGAAAGTGTCTCTGAGCCATAGATTCAAAGGCCATGCTGAAGAAAGCTGTCTGCAGCTCAAACCCACAACCCCTGCTTCCATCGAACAAAAGAACCCCAGAAAAAGCGCCTCTAGTGTATGAAGTCAGAAACAAGTTTTCTCTAGAGCACAGGACCAATATTTTTGTGCTGAAGTTTTGGGGCACTAGAGTGAGTGCTTTTACATTTGCAGCGAATGAAATAAACACTGACAACAGATACAAAATATATAATCCATTTTCCGAAAGGTGCCTATCACTACGGCTGTAAGGAGCCGGACTGTATGGCTGGGGCACTGGCAGCACCTGTAACTACCTATATGACCTTGGGTAAGTCACTCCTCTTCTCAGCATCTTGGTTTCCTCGACTCTAGAATAACCACTAAATAAATTAATTAGCTAAGAGTACCTCCAGCAATGCCTGGTATGTGATGTATGTTCAGAAAAAGCTAATAATATTTAAATGTGTCAAATCATTCCATGTGTAATATTTTATTAATGAATAAAGTTTTTCCCCAGTACATTCTGCCCCTGGTTTCTCCTCCCAGATCCCCCCTCACCTCCCCAGCCATTCTCTCCATGCCTTCTTTTTCTCTTTCTCACCGGATCCTACCCCATCCTTTAGTCCTGCAGGATCAACTGCTGATAATTCCCAAAACAAGTCCATTGATTCCTACCACCTCCAGGTCTTGACTGCCAGTCACTGTTGTCTACCACTCCTAACATCTACTGGCCACAGCTCAGCTTTTCCGAGCACCTGCCATGCTCTCCTTGACAATTCTGGGGACACTGGTCTGTTCTCGTTCTCTCCTCTTCTACATCGAGCAGCCCTCAAAGTCGGGAAGAGAAGCCTTTCCATTTATGCATCCCGCTACCCAACACGTGACAACCAACCATTGGTTCACTGACTGAACAGAAGACTGGAAGTAAATGACTGACCTATGAGACTGGTTATTCGGGGCCCTGGTTTCCAACGATGTTGCTGCCTGTTCCCTTTCTGATGGTGCTTAAAGGAATTCAAATCTGTTACATGTGGATGATTGTAGCAGTTCCTCTGAGACAGGGGATGATGGAAGACTCTTCACGTAAAATTCAAAGATAATTCAAATGCTCTACATTGGTCAAAAGTCTGATTCCCTATGTCCCTACTACCTCAGATTCTAATATCCAAAAGTCAGCTTGCTAGTGCCTTGGGGGTGGATCCTCCCTGACTTCCCTCTTTCCCCCAAAGTTGAACAATGTACTATACCAAAGAAAGGTCATCACCAGGGCATCCAGAAGACTCACCAAGTTGATAATTAGTTCCAGATAGAGCTGACTGTACCAGTGGACTTAAAAGCCATCAACCCCAAAGGTCAGAGCCCTCTCCAACAAATGGAAAGAAATGTATACATCAGTGGTTCTCACTAGCTTGTAAAATGCCCTACCCAAAACTACACAAGCCAAAAGAATTGACAAATGTGGAAGTTGCCAATGACAATTTTTGAAAAACACTAACATTCCAATCTCACCCGGATCTCAAGAAAGCAGAGGTATGCTAACATCAAGAACCAAGAAGGCAATTCCGGAACAAAGACCACCAGTGACCTAAGAGGCTCAGATGAGGGGAGCAGTTTTGTGTCACTACTGTTCCCATTTCATGCAAAAGAAATTTCGCCATGGTCAGCACCTTGGTCTCACTCATTAAAATGTCTGTTATAAAATTCTATTAAAAACATGGTAGTCATCAGCACTGGCCTGACACACACTTTACTTGCTGAGTGAATGGTTAGCTCCTTCAAGGGCTGCAGAAGTCAACAGCCGGAAGGGGAGTGATGAGTACCAACTCTGGTAACCAGAGATGGTTCTGTGATCACACAGAAGGCTGGGTCTTAAGAATCCTCACTCTTTCTAATCATTTTCAAAGTAAATGATCTTAAGACATCGTTGTGGAATATTATTTTAAGATGTGTTTCATTTGTTTAACTCTGTGAAGCTGTGTTACTTTGGCTGTCTAAAACACCTGAAGGGTCTAATAAAGAGCTGAACAGCCAACAGCGAGACAGGAGAAAGAATAGGCGGGGCTGGCAGACAGAATAAACAGGAGGAGAAATCTGGGAAGAGGAGATGAAGGAGTGAGAAAAGGAGGAGAGAGAGGGCTCCAGGGGACAGTCCCCCAGCTACAGAGCAAGCCACGGAGTAAGAAGTAAAGAAAGGTACACGGACATAGAGAAAGGGAAAAGTCCAGAGGCCAAAGATGGACAGGGTAACTAGAAACAAGCCAAGCTAAGGCCAGGCATTCATAAGAAAGAATAAGACTCCTTGTCATTTATTTGAGACCTGGGTGGCAGGCCCCCAAAAAAGCTAAGAGTAAAAATAGAAAAAAAAAAAGACTACAAGACATGAACTGTTTTAGAGAACTGGACTTTCTTTTCCTCTACTTCCTGGATCACCATGCCGTGAACTGAGCTGTTCCTCACCAGGATGGACTGAAGTCTTAGAAACTGTGAGCCAAAATAAATCTGACTTTTTTTTAGCAGGAAGGAAAGGGGGAGGGAGGGATAGGAAGAGACATGGATTTTCAGTTATTCAGTTCCCCCCCCAAAACAGTCTTACTGCATGGGAAACAATGTGTCAGCTGCTGAGTGAGATGCAAAGACGCAAGGCTATAGTCTGTGCCCTCACATTTGCTGGCCTAAGTGGGAACAAAAATGTGGCCAAACTCCTTGCTCTCTCCGGAGGGCAACTCCCAGCTCTGGAAGGCAGAGTGACTGGTAAATAATGGGATTTGGAACAATTACACAGAAGTATAAAGGAGAACTCCACTTTCGTTTTCATTTCTCCGAACTTTTTTATCTCAAAGTCCTTTACACTCCGAAGAATCCTCAAGAAGTTCAAATATCTTTGTTTATGTAGCTATATCTATCAATACTTACTACAATAGAAATTATGAGGGAACAAACTTAAAGTATTGGCTACAATAAAATAATAAAAAATAACTTACAAGATTACTATTTTACCTTTTAATTAGAAAGTGTGAATAAATTTACAAAAATGGTATTTTAGTGAAAAAATATATTATCCAAAACAAAAATATACACACAATGGGAAGAGTTTTATGTTTTGGCAATTCTGTTTGCTATTTGCCTTGACAAAACACAATTTTGTTCTCATT